GAACAACTTCCTGATCGAGATTGAAAATTTAACTTTCATGGCTCAACTTATTGCATATGGTGGTTAGTACAGGAATCTATTCAATCCAGGTATTTTCATGAATCACAGCTAAATTTCTATGTTTTTTCAACAGAATCACCGTTAGAGGTTAAAGTCTCTATGAAAACAAACGCTACCAAGAATCCAGCATGGAACAATCTCATGAAAATGAAACGATATGGAAAGAGCTTAAAAATTGATCATTACCCATTGAAAACAGTTAAAGATTCACCAATGAGGAAAGTGATTCCAATGGAAAGTTTTAATCAGTTGTTCGAATCAAGTCGAATGGATAATTGGGCTACCGAACCCACACAAAAAATACCTAAAGAAATCTTTTCTCTTGAATCAACATCTAATGAAACCGAAAATTGTATAACTGATAAAACATTTTCAGATTCAATTGACATATCAAACAATTCAATACAAGAAGATTCAACACTCTCGGATTCTAATATATGTAAATTGGAAAAAGAGATAATGATTCTTGATAGAAAAGCTAAGGTTTTATCTGAGCTCGATACAAGTGGTTCAATTATGATTTCTATGATTCACTCTCTAAAATTGATTCATGAAATTCTTACGAATAAGATTCGTATTGAGAATGAATCTTGTAAAATAGTCCCTAAGGTGGATAATACTTACAAGAATACTCAAAAGGTACTTTTAATAATGATACTTTAATTTCTAAGTTTCATCGTTGTCTAACTTTTTTGAATTCTCCAAATCAACAGAATCAAATATTCCTCGAAGGACAGATTCAACTGGATTTGGATTCTTACTATGAAGCTATTAGAGATGCAAAAGCAGGAAGTCCTTCTTCATTTGCTTATAGAATCATAAGATTCTGCTTTCCTGAATCTTATTATCTTCGTGTTACTTTAGGAAAGAAAAATATCGAAAAAAATTGTATTGAATCTTTACTCAAAAGTAGAGAAAATTTCATAAATGAAAATACAAAATTACCTTTACTTTTCATTTGGGGATTTGAAGATCCTTTTTCCAAAAGATGCGTTGGGCCTTTCGATTATAAATTAGGTCAAGAAAGAATTCGAGCTTTTTTGAGTGAGTTTTGAGAATCTCATTAGTTGATTGATAAAGCTAATTTTTTGTTCTTCACTTTTAGATCATTTGTTTAGGAAAGCTGGAATCTATAAGTATTCAGATTCTCTAGAAAAGATCGTTCGGAAAAGAATCATTGCTGAGCTATGTGAAAGAAATATGTCATTCAAGAATCGAGCTAGGAAAGAATCAATGAATCAAGATCCACCGAAAGCTTCGCAACAAGATCTGAAATTGGATGGAATTTCTGACGATGTATCTCAAGATTATTGGAATGTTGGTTGTTTTGATTAATAAAATTAATTCACTTAATAAAAGATTCTATTTAGTTCCAAATTTCTCTACTTAAGATTCAATTCTTATTTTCAAATGATGAGATTCACGAGAATAGCTTTTGACTCAATTTATTGAGTCAAAACGGTCTCAATTGGTTTTTACTCATAAAAGAGTCAAAATGGCAAAACCAATGCTATTTTTTACTCTTTTTTGAGTCAAAACTGTTGATTGGGTAATCATCATCTACGAAAAGTTAATTACAATTTACTCAAACAGTTAATTGAATTGTTCTGATGAATTAACAATTATGAATGAAAATGAAATGATAATTTTTATTTTACCGTTGAATAGATTTGATTGTCGATGGTGTTGATTTAATCCATTTGTTTAATCTCAATGAATACAAGGTCTTGATGAGTCAAGAAATCAACAATTAGTAACGTGAATTGATTAAGTTAATCATTTGAAAGCCTTGAGATAATTTTCTAGAAAATCAAATTGCAGTTGATTTATTTACGAAAATATAATTGAATGAATTGACTTGCTAAAAGTTTATTAATCAGTATGAATCAAAGAGTAAAAGATATTAAGTTCATTAACATCGGGTGAATGTTCAATCGGTGATACAGATTCTACTGATTCGAGGTAATAATTTAAATAGTTACTCTTCTATCATGAACGACGGATCTTCATTCTCTTTGATTGCGTTCTCTTATAATCGGAATGAAAGAGATCATATTGCAGTGATTCCATTTAATTCGATGCTAAATGGCTTCGAAAGGCCAACTAATGGTTGTCGAATTGTGACAACTTTTTGGAAGGCTGATCTGTTCAATGAATCTGGTCCAGAGTGCAACTCTTTTCACAGAGGTTATCATCTTAACGATATTCTAACGGGAAATTGGACTCGAATCTTGGATTTCTAAAGGCCATACGGTATTTTTTAATTCCAGATTGGTAAATAAATTGGCACATACTAATCATTCAGTTGATGTTGATCGAATTCACTCTTCGAAAGCAACTTCGAAAACTATTCACAACTTTAATGAATTCAATAAAACCTCAATCTCAAGAGTTGATTTCAACCTGGAATTCAATACAAATGGAAGTGAATAATGTCCAATAGGTTTCACTGGGTTTAATTGAATCGAAGGAGAAGTTAACACCGAGAGTAAATTCTCTCGATGCCATTCATTAAAATTCGACCCCCAAAGTAACCAAAAGCCACAAAGTCTCTTCTGGGTCATTTTTATTAGTTTTCTTATCTTTTTTCTTTTCTTATTAGGTAAACTCCTAAGTAATGGCGAAAATTTTTTGAGCTTACATTTCGCTCGATTGTTAGAAAACTTTAGATTTTTCATTAATAAAATTAGAGAGGTTAGATAATAAGCTTTAACATGATATATAGCCAAGAAAAATGAGATGAGAACAAAAATTATGTCTTATACGCATAGAGATATAATTTTTGTTCTCATCTCATTTTTCGTGGCTGTATAAATAATCATTTTATTTACACTTAATTAATTGCAATCAAGAAGTTATGAGCATTGGGATATAAGGATGAAAATAAGTCTAGATTATTATCCTGTGAGTATAATCCTAATTGTGTTTCCATAATTAGAACAAGATAATTGTCCAATTTTTTTCTCGAAAAAAATGTTTCATTTATTTTCATTGACAAGTTTTTCTTTAATTTGTATATTTCTCTCATCGATAATTATTGTTGATTGTCATCTTCTAATCCACGAATCAAATGTTTGGATTCCGATTTTTAACGACAGTTTACGAGCTCCTTATTTCTTTTTCACTGATGACAAATTTTACACAACTAACTATTCTAATCAAGTTCTCAACACGGACCCTAACGCCGTTGGTGAACAAAGTAGCGCAACTCATTTTGCTCCAGCTTATTCTCGCAGACCTAATTACAACAACTACTACTTCTTGCACAGGAAGGGAAGCCAAATCAATTTCGCGCATTATAACTATACAGAAAATGGTTTTCAACTAATAGCCGGACCATTTCCTCGAGAATTCCATAATACTCATCGCTGGCTTTCAATTAATGATTCATTTTATGAAATTGGAATGTTTTCAGGATCCAATATAACGAATTCTCGATCGGAAATATTTATTCTTATGAGATCTTATGTCGATGGACAAAGTCGTTTGCAACCTTATCTACATTATCCCATTGAATCCCAAGTTCGCTCGTTTAAAATTCTTCAGGTATTCAAGTTTCGAGAAAAGATTTATTCGTTCGGGCTCCTGACAATTGACCTCCTAAGGCCAGTCTACTTCATCTCTCAACTATCAATCTTTTCGATCAATAGGGTAAATGTCAGGTTAGAAAGATATTTCTACAGCGAACTTGATTCGATTTCATTATATGAACGTTATGGTTCGATTGACAAAGTTCGATTTGTTGATTCTTTTTCTATCATGAGCAATGGATCTTCATTCTCTTTGATTGCAGTCTCTTATAATCGCAATGAAAGAGATCATATTGCAGTGATTCCATTTAATCCTATGCTGGATAACTTCGAAAGGCCAATTAACAGCTGCCAAAGTTCGAGTACTTTTTGGAATGCTGATTTATTCAATGAATCTGGTCCAGAGTGTAACTCTTTTAACAGTTACATATGGGCGAGACGTAGAGACTTTTGGGGGTATCATCTTACAGATATTCTAACGGAAAATTGGACTCGAATCATCGATTTTATTCCATTGGCTCTCGATGCGACTCCAGGTTATGTTTTCCTCGTTCTTTCCACTGATAGTGATTATACCAGATATCGATATTCAATTCACTTTGTCGATGAAAATTATTCTGTCTTTCCCCACCCGAACGAAACTACATTTACTCATCCTAATATTGGTGGTGCAAATGAAACAATATCACAAATTTATTACTATGGTTTTACTCATCCACGCGTGATAATTATCACGCGTCAATAAATTTACATCAATAAATTTATTGATGTATATTTCTTATTTATTCAATTTAATTATAATCTATCATCTTTTTCACAGAGAAATTACACTCACGAATCAAACAGTAAATCCATGTTTCAGTCCGATTAATATCCAAGTAGACTACACTCCTGATGAACCGACATTTGATTTAAGCTTCCCAATCAACAGTAAAGAGTCATGAGAGAGTCAAAAAACAAGGTGGATGGGACATTTTTACTCCTTAGAGAGTCAATGCCTTTTGATGAGATTTGACTCATTTTTGATTGTATTTGACTCTTATTTTGATTAGTTTTGACTCTTTAATAAAATTAATCAATAGAGAGTCAATAGTTATTCAAATAAATTGAGTTAAATTGACTCAAATATGAATTATTTTGACTCTTTTTTGACCGTTTTTGAACGGCCATGAATCAACATTGAGTAAATTTTTTGATTGATTAAGACGAAAGAAAATGAATCAATATGTTTATTGATTCTTCAATCAAAGAATCTCTTGATTGTTTAATAAAATATAAACTTGAATCTTAGATTTTTGATTCAAAGAATCAGTTTTATTTTAAATTAATTTGATTAATTTTGAAAATTAAATTTGAATTTAAAGGAATCAAACTTGATTGATTCAATAAAACGCAAACATAAATCTTAGATTTGCGATTCAAAGAATCAGTTTTATTTTAAATTAATTTAATTAATTAATTTTGAAAAATGAAATCAAACTTTTTTGAATCAAAATATTGAAGAATATTTATTCTTCGAAACAATTATCATCCCAAGCAGAATTTGAATCTGATTCTGGATCTTCCTCGATTCCTTTTTTTTAGAATCGTTTTCTTGAATCGAATTGGTCAATAATAATTTGAAATAATTTCAAGAGCATGAGGAGCATCTTTAGATAAACATTTGGCATAATAGACAGTCTGCTCCCTAGATGTGTAAGCATTAAGATGAGCTCCCATATTTTCAACTTCCAATTCTAATCATGGTAACACAGGTAAGTAAGAGAGTGAGAGAGAACAAAAAAAGAACCAAATTAATGAGAATCGATTAGAATTAAGTGTAGAATATAGTTAAACAAGTAAAAGAGATTAACTAACCTAAATTGGTTTGACTACGTTTATTTGTGCCCTTAAAGGCCATATGTTCAAGGTAATGGGCAACTCCATTAGTCTCCGGTGTTTCATATCTTGATCCAGCATCAATCCAAACACCAATGGTGGCAGTTTTGAGGCCAGAATTTTCAGTTGCTACCCTAATACCATTAGACAATTCGGTGACTCTGGTTTCTGGATAGTTAACCAAAATCTCACGAGTTGGAACAGCAGAAATTTTACGGTTTTTCAACCCAAACCGTTGAATTTGATTATTTTTACTCAAAGTTTGGATTAACCTTGGAGCATTTCGTAAAATGGTAGACGACATAATTAAATATTAACAATTATTTAATCACCGGAAGAAAAAAACAAAACAATCACAATAAGAGGATGAAAATCAGAACCCAAAAGTAACAAGGACGATTTAATGTGAACAAAAATTCATCCAATCGATGGATCGATTCACTTTGAACCGCGAATTTTGAACTGGAGAGAGTAATTAATTTTCTCAAATAATTTAGTTAATTTTTTTCTTTTTTTATTTAAAAATTGAATTAAATGAAAATCTAAGAAAAATTAATCAAACTAATTAATCGGCCAATGTAAATTCCATTAATTATTTTGTTTCCAAATGTTATTGAATCATAATTATGATTGGAAATTTTGATTCCAATTGATGATAATCAAGAAAATTGGAATCAAAATTTCCAATTATAATTATGATTCCAATTTCCGTGATTATTTCCAATTAGAATTATGATTCTATGATTCAATATTATTTGGAATCATGCATCTAATTGGAATTATGATTCAGTAACATTTACGCATTTTGAGTGTTTTAAATGCGCAATGCTTTAAATAAATTTAAATTTTATTTTGATTTAAAACACTCAAAAAATAGTAAATGTTATTGAATCATAATTGAGTAAAATTTTACTCAATTTTGATTTTTTTTATTATTTTTTGAATAAAAATTATTCAAAAAAAATTTGAAAACAATTTGAGTCTAAAAAAGAGTCATCAAAGAGTCAAAATCTAATCATTTTGACTCTCTAAAAAAATGTATGTTGATTGGGTTCGATCTCCTTGGTTTCCATTCAAGATATGAAGATATTTTTCCCTTGACCTTCACTTTAGTCGATATTACAACACTTTCATTCATAGAAAATTGTACTGCTGTGAGTTATAATCAGTCCAAGATTTATCTCAACTGCAATCGGGTGAATTCTGGTCAATATCAACTATCGATTCTTATGCTTAGACGACGAGGTCCATTTGAAACAGGAGATATTGACAACTTGATCACTTATAGTGATCCTTTCACCATCGGCTCACCACCAACACCACCACCAACACCACCACCAACACCACCACCAACACCACCACCAACACCACCACCAACACCACCACCACCTCCTCCTCCTGAATCTTCTTATAGCCTGTTGATAACATTACTAGTTATCGCCTTTATTATCTCTATGATTGCATTCGTTGTATTTTATACTCCTCGCACTGAGGTCAGAAAAGTTCCGAACACAATGGTCGAGACAAAAAATCTTCCATCCAAAGGCTCACTACCTGATATAAGGAGCAAACATAAATCGTCATTAGATCTTAAATCTAAATCAGTAGTAATTCCAATAGTCCATCTCAAATCTAAATCAGTACCAATTTTGAAAGTGCGTTCCAGTGAATTGATCAGCAAAAAAACAACAACAATTGATCCAAAAGTCCCCAAGAAAAACCCTTCAAAAACCAAGACCATCGCAGCACCCAAACAGACAAAAAGAACAAAAAATGAATCTCTTCAATCAAAAGCTAAACGATAAAAGGTCCGTTGTGATTTCCTTTAGAGATCTGCCATCTGAATTACTCCAGAAAATCTAAGTTTAAGCCGTTACAACTATTCTCAGTAGAACCCAGTAAAATGAAACATATTCATTGTCGTAAACATTCGTATACAGTTTCAAATATTCTTTTCGAAAACTTTCTCACATTATTCTGAATATTATTTTTATTCAGAAAATTTTCCAAAATAAAAATATATTTTTCAACTAAGATTTCTATTACATTTTTTGTTTATGTAAAGATCTTTTCTGTAAACATCAACAACTTTTGGAAATTTATCATTAGAATTTCTGATTCAGAACTGATCGGAAGCTTCCGAGTCAGAGCTGAATCGGTTTGGTTATTTTGGATTGATTTCCGACTCGCTACCGAGTCGGAAATGTTGATTGGGTATTAATATCTATTAATTAATTTCTTATTTATTCAATTTAATTCTAATCTATCATCTTTTTTACAGAGAAACTACACTAACAGTAATTTCATTGATGTTGATCGAATTCACTCTTCGATTAGATCTTCGAAAACTATTCACAACATTTATGCCTCCGATAGTAACCGGAAGCCACAAAGTCACTTCTAGATTATCTTCATTAGTTTCTTATCTTTTTCCTTTGCCTTTTTCTTATGTATACATAACTGTATTTAGCTGTTAGTTATTCCAGAAATGAATGAGGGAACCAATAAAAATTAAGTTCTCCAACCTTAGTTTATGTATTGATTGTTTTACAACCAAAATTCTTAATCCGAATGGTAATTTTCTTTGCTTTTGTCATCGGGTGAATATTCAATCGGATGCACAGATTCTACTGATTCAAGGTAGTAATTTAAATAGTTTCTTCTCTTTCTTATTCATTCCATCAGAGAAACTACACTTACGAATCAAACAGTAAATCCATGTTACAGTCCAACTAAAGGGTAGCTAATGAACAGTGGAACTGGCAAACAATGTTGATTTTTAGTAATTGATGAATTTTTTTGCGATTTTTCCTCAAAGTCATTACGAATTCAAGACATAAATCGCAGATTTTATTAAAAATTATTCTTAAAAATATACTATTAGATCAGATATCGAGGTCGAAAGTTGGACGCGCGATAAATCAGTTTGTTTTCCATGTGTTTTTCCATTTTTCTCTGTATAATTCAAACAGTATTTATGTAAACATATTTACCTCTATTTTTGTTTCAATAACTCAAGTTTAATCTCACTAGTCCAATTCATGTTTTCATCTTAATCATCAACAATTTAAATTGTTCCCTTGTTGTCACTTTGATTCCTTTTTTTCCAATTTGTCATCTTTAATTTAATCGATATCATTGTGATATTACTTTATAATATCTTTGACTTTTGATTTAATCACAATTTTAATTGTTACCTTATATACTTGTTGTTTACCTTTAAAATTAGTACAAGGTTTTTGTCTTGTACAATTTAAATTGATTCATCATATTAGGAAAATTACAACTCCCTCAACTAATTAACTAAACATTTGGATTCAATTTCTGTTAGCTGACTTTATCTAACATCTTAATTGTTTCCCTCTGTGATATTATCCTGTAAGTTAACTAAATAACAATTAACACATTTGACCAATTACGATGTCTACTGTTAATAAAGATGATTAAAGTTAACAAAAACTTTACTTTCGCAAAGTGTGATCAATAAATTGTTACAATTTATATACAAGATGAACAAAAAAACTCATGAGTTAATCATCATCTTTGAAAAGTTAATTACAATTTACTCAAACAGTTAATTGACTTGTTCTGATGAATTAATGATTATACATGAAATGATAATTTTTGTTTTACCGTTATTTATAATAGATTTGATTGTCAATTATGTTGAATTAATCAATTTGTTTAATCTCAATGAATACAAGGTCTTGATGAGTCAAGAGATTAACAATTAGTATCGTGAATTGATTAAGTTTTAATCTAAAAAGTTAATCATTTGATAGCCTTGAGATAATTTTCTAGAAAATCAAATTGCAGTTGATTTATTCACGAAAATATAATTGAATCAAAGAGAATAAATATTAAGTTCATTAACATCGTGTGAATGTTCAATCGGTGATACAGATTCGACGTAATAATTTAAATAAAGTATAATGAAGTTACTCTTCTATCCTATTTATTTAATCCTGATTTATCATCATTTCGACAGAGAAACTACACTCACGAATCAAGCAGTAAATCCATGTTTCAGTTTAACTAATATTCAATCGATCTACACTCCTGATGAACCGACATTTAATTTAGACTTTGTTCTATTTCTAGTCAATCTACCATTCTGGGTGCCATAAAGGTCTATAATTGTCGATACCAATTGAATCGTGAGCAAATTGTTCGCGGAAATTACACAAATCACCGAAGGTGAAGACTGATTTACACTTAATTAATTGCAATCAAGAAATTATGAGCATTGGGATAAGAGAATGAAAATAAGTCTCGATTATTATCCTGTGAATATAATCCTTTTGTGTTTCCATGATTAGAACAAGATAAATATCCAATTGTTTGTATTTTGGTCTCACGAACAAAATGGTTGATTTAATTTCATTGACAAGTTTTCCTTCAATTTGTACATTTCTCAACATAATTATTGTTAATTGTCATCTTCTAATCCACGAATCAAATGTTTGGATTCCGATTTTCAACGACAGTTTAACATCTCCTTATTTCTTTTTCACTGGTGACAAATTTTACACAACTAACTATTCTAATCAAGCTCTCAACACGGACTCTAATACCGTTGGTGAACAAAGTAGCGCAACTCATTTTGCTCCAGCTTATTCTCGTAGACCCAATTACAACTACCACTACTTATTGCACAGAAAGGGTAGCCGTGTCAATTTCGCGCGTTATAACTATACAGAAAATGGTTTTCAACTAATAGCCGGACCTGTTTCCTTTGGATCCCGCAATACTCATCGATGGCTTTCCATTAATACTTCATTATATGAAATTGCAATTTTTTCAGGAACCAATATAACGAATTCTCGAGCAAGTATATTTTTTCTTGTTAGATCTGCTGCCAGTGGATTTAGTCATCGGGCAAATAACTATCAATATCCCATTGAATCTACAGTTCGCTCGTTTAAAATTCTTCAAGTATTCAAGTTTCGGGAAAAGATCTACTTGTTCGGCCTTCTAACAATTGACCTCTTAAGGCCAGTCTACTTCATCTCTCAACTATCAATCTTTTCGAACAATACACAACGTGTCACTATAGAAGGCTGTTTCTACGCCGAACTTCATTCGATTTCATTATACGAACGTTATGGTTCGATTGACAAAGTTCGATTTGTTGATTCTTTTTCTATCATGAACTATGGATCTTCATTCTCTTTGATTGCAGTCTCTTATAATCGCAATGAAAGAGATCATATTGCAGTGATTCCATTTAATCCTATGCTGGATGACTTCGAAAGGCCAATTAACAGCTGCCAAATTACGAGTACTTTTTGGAAAGTTGATTTATTCAATGAATCTGGTCCAGAGTGTAACTCTCAGCGCCAATATTTCCGTAATCAAGTAATGTCAATACGTAGAGACTTTAGTGGTA